AACAGTGCTCAATGTAAATTTACAGGGCATAAATATTATAAATTAACTGATTTAAAATGTTTTTTCGCTACACAGTAATAACCATGCTTCAGTTTTTGAAACCTGGTTATTATTGTGTAGCGAAGAAACCATATTTTAAAACAGTTAATTTATAATTACAGCCTCTTTCTCTTTACTTCCCCCTTCTTTCTTTTTTCTTTTTCTTTTTCTCTCTTCTCCCCTCCCATTTCAATATATCACTTCCGTTAAGTTAACCGACTAAATAGGTCAAGGTCTGGTCTCTCCTCCCCCAATACTAAGTATGATTGAAAGAAATATTAAAATAAACCCTCTCTAAACTCAACCATGTCTCTCAAACCACTCCTCATTACCACCTCTGTTAAATTACAAAATCTTACACTATCCATCAAAAGTATGAATTTTCATTTCATTTCATTTCATCATTTGGAAGTGCTATCTGATGATCCAGTGTCCTTTAAAAGGTCTCTGGTGAAATAAATTATTATAATGGCGCCTTAAAGTGGTCTGTTTTTCTTTAAATTATTAGCACTGAATTTACATTGAGCTCTCAGGATTTCATCCTCCTTGGGACTACCCATACAGATTACCAAGTTTTTCATGACTTAAATATATATATATATATATATATATATATATATATACGGAGAGAGAGAGAAAGAGAGAGAGTGAGAGAGAGAGGATGGGTTAGCTAGAATCTGTTTCATTGGCCCTACCTCTAACTATAGAAACATGATTAAACACAGAGTTATAGAACAAACAAAAGCAATTCTTTATTAAGTGGAACATTGGCACTTTGGAAAAGAAAACGTAATAGTCTCTGTCAGAGCAATTATTTTGATGTAAGAATGACAATAGCCAGTCATAAATCACATAAAGAAGAAATTTACGGAGAGTGAAAAAAAAATGAAAAAAGAGTTATTAGAGACATTAAAAAAAGAATGAGATTACTTATCAAACTTATACTTTGAGAAATTTTTGCAATGAATATCAGAAATTTGTGCTGCAGTAATCAAGGCTAAAGGAGGATATTTCGACAAGAGCAAAATTTAATCATAAAATGCCTTTTTCTTTTTGTCATAATAAAATTTCTATAAAAAATCATGTCTCAATTTTTTAAAGCATCTATAATAATTTTCTCTGATTTAAAGTACAAAACAACTACTTTTGGGGCGAAGTGTGTGCACATATATATATATATATATATATATATATATATATATATATATATATATATAGAGAGAGAGAGAGAGAGAGAGAGATAGATAGATAGATAGATAGAAAGATATATGACGTCACACATTATGAACTGGACAAAGTCCGACAATTATTTTAAGACATTAAAAACGTATAAACATAAAAACTGTCTTAATATATATATTTACGATTCCAGTGTAATAAATTATGACCATGGAATACTAGTGTTTAAGCCTTTTTATTTTTATTATATATATATATATATATATATATATATATATATATATATATATATATATATATATATATATATATTTGTGTGTGGCTGATTAAATAGATTACAGACATTATGTTTGCTTATTATTAGCCTAAAAGACAATTTGCTGCCTAAATACACAGAATATATAAATATATACATATCTTAATTCATTTCATTTCAAGCAAGGCAATGAAGCCACTAAGATGGGTGGGTTTACTGAGTGTGAAAAATATGATTTTTAAGAGCTACAAAAGAAGAAGAGGAAGAAGATGAAAATTTCAAAATATTTATTGTGGTTAATGGTAAAACAACAGGGTTTTTTTACTACTACGTTCGAGCTTACGAAAGGATTTCCTTCCAAATTAACGGCTCTACGAGGAACTTGTTCGGGGCCTGGTATAAAAGTTGGAGGTGTCTTGTAATTGTTAATCAGGGTAAACAACAAGCTGCTACAGAGATTCAGGTCGTCCTTCCCCAGAAGGAAATCGATGCAGAATAATTAGATAACCCACTGGAAGACGATAATTAAAATCAACAACCTGGTCTGTCCTATCACAAAGCAAAGTCTTTGGCTCGTGTGATCGATCTAAATTTTTATTGTTATCACAAGTAAAAGAAACAGCAGATTCTCTTCATACAAATGTGTACTAAATTCCTCACTGAAAAAATATTCATAGGAGTATTTTTTATTCTTTACCAAATGTGGTTTTCTATACCGAGAACCTTCTTATGAATTAAGGTACCAGCAGTTTACTAAAATTTTACAAGGTGTTGAATTTAAATATTGTATGCAATAATACAATTTTATTTGGAAAAGAACATGTTCATTTTTGTTAATTGGGTTACAAGTTATCGGTCATTGTTAGGCACAGAAAGTATTAAATTTGTTTAAATCTTTTGAGTGCTTGCCTGTATTTCTGAGATGAGGTATTTTAACTAATTACACCATTTACATCGTTCGGACTGTTGTCCCCATCTTTATATTCATATTCCCAACGTTTCGGCCGTTGTACGCTCCGGCCTTCTTCAGGAACTGTCTATGTTTCTGAGATGAGGTATTGTAATTATTTACATCAGTTACATTGTTGGGACTGTTGTCCTCTTTTTATTGTCATATTCATGTCTTTTCGGCCGGTGACCGTTCCGGCCTTCTTTAGGATCTGTCTAGATACCTGATATGAGGTATATATATATATATATATATATATATATATATATATATATATATATATATATATGTGAGGTATTGTAATGTTTACACTATTTAGATTGCATGGACTGTTGTCCGCGTTTTTATTGTCATATTAACGACGTTTCGGTCGTTGTAAGCTCAGGCCTTCTTCAGGGTCTGTCTGTATTTCTGAGATGAGGTATTGAAACTATTTACACCATTTACATCGTTCGGATTGTGGTCCTCGTTCTTATTACCATATTCAGGACGTTTCGACGATAGAACGCTCCGGCCATTTTCAAGATCTGTCTATATTTCTGAGATGAAATATTTTAATTATTTACACTATTTATATCGGTCGGACTGTTGTCCTTGTTTTATTGTCATATTCACGACTTTTCGGCCGGTGACCGTTCCGGCCTTCTTCAGGATCTGTCTATATTTCTGAGATAAGTTATTGTAATGTTTGCACTATTTAGATCGTTTGGACTGTTATCCTCATTTTTATTGTCATATTCACGACGTTTCGACCGTTGTAAGCTCATGCCTTCTTCAGGGTCTGTCTACATTTCTAAGATGAGGTATTGAAACTATTTACACCATTTACATCGCTCGGAATGTTTTCCTCGTTTTTATTGTCATAATCACGACGTTTCGGCCGTTGGAGCTTTGGTCTTCTTCAGCTGATATATATTTGAATTTCGAACTAAACCCTTTAATTAGTCCCGGTTTAGATATAGTTGCACGTGCCATGACTTTTCTGGATATATCAGTTTTCAGTTAATTTCCTTTAGTAAATAATCTCTTTTTATGTTAGCCTCCGCCGTGGCCAGGTATTAAACTCACAACTCTTTTGGGGCCAAGTCGCTTTTGGATTACATTAATCAACGCTTTTATCTTCTGTGTCATGTGTCCCCAATGACAACAGTCTGAGCAATGTATATAATGTAAATACTTTTGTGTTAAATAAATTTTATTGTAGCTTTTAAAATTCGGCTGGTGTCGTCTGTCATTTGTTGAGTGTTGGTAATTATTGTTACGTCAAACATTTGATATATATTTTTTCATAGGATATTTTACAAAAAAATCTTTGCACTCGTTAGTGGCGAAGGAAGGGCCAGAATATATGAAGTTAGCTAGCCATATGATTAATAATGATGATGATGATGATGATTTCATTTGTCCCTCATTTGCCCACCGACTAAAGTATGACGTCTGTATATGAAAAGAAATGATTTGCATCTCTTTTCATGTCTAAAAACAAAGTTCTTCTGGGTAATTTGCAGTTTAAGCCCCACGCTCAGTTTCTACTAATAATTTCCCGAATAGTTACATTTAGCTGTAAAATAACATGCTTAAGTCGAAAATAACAATGAAATTTTGCTAAAATCTATCATTTTGGTGTTATCGACAATAAAAGTTCGGACTCATTCGCATCGCGGCTACAGTACGGCAGTCATTACTAGGCTGTTTGCATACATTTGCCTCAGAGCAGTCATTCGCCGAGGCTTTACTTGTCTTGATTAATGCGCACGCAATGCACAAACCTCTGAATTCAAACTACTGACTGCCTTGTAGGTCTCGCCTCTTTAACAGCTGAGAGGAAGAATGGGGTAACTTCAACATCCCCGGTGCAAAAGCAACCGACAAGACAATGTCTAAGAAATTGAAGCTGCTTGAATGTGCATCGTCTGGATTTAAGAGAGAAAGCAGACGTTGCGTTGGGCTCTTGTTTAATTCTGCAATTTCGAAAATATTTTTAGTACGTTTTGATTAGTGGGGAAAACAGCTGCGTTTGTTTATCATCAAAAACAAATAAAAGGGTTTCCATTCAAATTCTGAGAAGTGTATTTGGATCCTACTTGTAGCCTATTTAAGTGGGAGCTTGGATTTAATTTTAGGAGTCGACCAACAGCTGCTGCAAGAATTTAAGTCACTCCGGTCCAAAAAGTAAAACAACACAGAATAAATTTGACAACCAGCCGACGAGAATCGAAAGAAACATAAAAGTCGCTCCCACATCAAGAAAAAGTCTACGGTTGGTGTGCTTGAATAATACTTCGCTGTTACCACGAACTTTGCTTCGAAAATTCTACCAAATAATTCTTTGAAAACTATTCAGAGAAATATTTTCTCTATTTCTTCACTTTTTAAATCGTTTTCTTTTCTGAGGACCTTCTTATACAACATTATAATTGGGCACCTCCAGGTGGTGTAATGGCTAGCAAGTTTGTCTCGCTAGAACAATTACGAATGAGTAGTGAGTTCGATCCTCACTAGGTGCCCCATACTTTCGGCCTTGTGCCACATCTAAAAAGCTTCGGGCACCTCGAGGTGGTGTAATGGTTAGCAAGTTTGTCTCGCTAGAACAACTACGACTGAGTAGTGAGTTCGATCCTCACTAGGTGCCTCTTACATTCGGCATTGTGCGACATCCAAGCTACGCTTGGAAAATCACTGGGGCACCTCGGCATGGTGTAATGGTTAGCAAGCTTGTCTCGCTAGATCAGTTACGACTGAAAAGTGAGTTCGATTCTCACTAGGTGTCCCTTACTTTAGGCCTTGTGTCACATCTAAGCTACGCTTAGAAAATAACTATACAACATTATAATTTTAATTGTAAAAATGCATATTTCATTATCCTTAATAATTTTCATGTTAATAGCCATCATTTTGTACACAATGTACTTAATTTCTGTGTATTAACAATAAATTTATCGTCTGTTTTTAAACTCGGCTTGTGGAGTCTGTCTTTGATGGGCGGCCGTATAATTTAATGTTACTGCAAACATTTTTAATCGTTTTCTTTTTCACATTTTTTTGACAAATAAAATATTCTATACTTGCACTATTCTACTTTGAATGTCGCCATGAACGACAATTGCAAGATGGTGGAGAGTGGGGACTTCATTGGCACTGAATAAATGAATAAATGTAAAACAAAGAAATGAAGAAAAAAAATGCCCTCTTTAACATCATTTACAATAAGCAAAATGGTTTATCGACCAGTTTCTGAATAGTTGTAGACTGGCTCGTTGACCTAACCAGAAACGAAAGCGGAACCGAATTGGACAATTTTACAAAAGGCATTTTAGAAAAGCTCTGAAATTATCATTCAGTCGATCTTTGACGTCATCGATGCCGTCATTCACGTGTTGTAATTCATGGCAAATCTTTGTATTTTCGCGTCAAAAGGCTTCCAATCTTTTATTTTGATCTCTCTTTGGGCTTGTTAGCAAATTAAGTAGGATTGGCTTCTCTCTTCATTTCAAAACCCGCTCGCTGCTTCAAACACAATTTCGTCTTCAAGGGAAGGGGAAAAAGCACTCCTTTTTAGCAACAAGAATTTAAGTAATTTCATACGACAATCTTAAGATAGGAAGCTATCCATCGAATTCTTACGAGTGCTGATTGATCAATAACGTTCCAAGAAAACACTTTTTACTTTTGATTTTTTGGTTAAATGGCATATCAACACCTTGTGGGTCATTTAATGCTGAAATTTAATATTCTTGTGAGCTTGATTGATTTATTTGTTTAACGGCATATCGATTCCTTTGGGGTCATTTAATGCTGAAATTTAATTCTCTTGTGATCTTTGATTAGATTTCTACTATTTACATTATTCGGACTATTGTCTTCATCTTTGTCGCCGTATTTATTACAATGTTTAGACCGTTGTACGCTCCGGCCTTCGTCGGGTGGTTGGAATGTCGAACTTTATTTCGCTTACTGGGGTAGACTGTTCTAGTTCCACGTGTCATGTTTAATGGATGTCAGTTACCATTTATCACCTGTTAATTTCCCTCTGAAAGTTCTGCACTGCCTTAACCGGGTATTGAACTCATACTCTTTGGGTCCTTTCACTGGATCTAACCAACGCCTTTATCCACTGTGCCATGTGTCCTTGAGGAAATATAGACAGATATTGTGTGGATTTGTTTGTTTAACGGCATATCGATCCCTTATGAAGTAGAGCAACTAATATAAACCTAAAGAGCTAGGTAAACCTACCTAGGTTTCACCTAAACGGATCGTCAGGGTAAAACTGGCCAGTTTTAACCTGTCGATCCGTTTAGGTGAAACTTAGGTAGGTTTACCTGGCTTTTTAGGTATATATATATATATATATATATATATATATATATATATGAAGAAATATAGTTTTAAAATGTGCTATGTTTATGGGATAAAGTGTATTTACAGAGTATGGAAACTGCAGCAGGAGTCGGGAGAGAAATGAATTTCTACATAATTTATAAATATCTTTTTTTTTTTACAGTCAATTGTAAGAAAACTGAATGCATGGTTGTCAGCAAAAGGAACAGCCCAACATGAAAATTACAAATTGGAGATAGCAAAATCAATCAATTTTAAAATAGCTCGGATGTATTTTAACGGAGGACGGAAAGTGAAACATCGAAATTTGAAGGCCTGTTGAAGGCAAAGATGCATTCCAAAAACTAAGCAAATTATTACAAAACAAGAAAATTTCTTAAAAACTTAAGAAAAGAGTACCGAATTGTTATGTACTTATGTATATGTCCTTCTATATAGCAGTAAATGCTGGACCATCTCAGCACAGATGAAGAAGAATACCAATAGAAATGTGGTTCTACAGATCGATGCTGAGAATAACATGGACTAAACAAGTTTAGAGTTAGCATTTATTGTACTTCTACTAATCCTTAATCAGCAGGAATTGGGAGAGAAATGGTTTTATACATAATTTATAAATATCTATTTTATACAGTCAATTGCAAGAAGACTGAATACATAGTTGTTAGCAAAATTACAGATTGGTTATACCGAAATCAAACAGGTGCAACAATTTAGGTAAAAGAGGAAGGAAAGTGTGGCATAGAAATCCGAAGATGCAATGGTTTAGACAAATAATCATCCAAAAGATGAGCGAAATAACAGAATCAAAGAGAAGAGTACTGAACTGTTATATAGTATCAGTTGTCATATATGGCAGTGAATGCTGGCCAATCTGCTCTCAATGCAACAAGAGACTGGATATATCAGAAATGTGGTTCTGCAAAAGAACTCTGAGAATACCATAGACCAAATATATGAGGAAAGACGATGTTTCAGAATGGAAGCAAAAAGAAAAATTATAAATAACATCAAGATGAGACAGTTGACATTTCTGGAGAACGATGGCTTAGAAACTCGCACGACAGATTGAAGTTAAGAGGGACAAAGGAAAACAACAGAAAACCTACAATGCGAGCATTAGTGAATGAATGGCAGAAGCAGGTTTAAGAAAGATAACTAAAAGACAATATTTATAAAGGGCTAGAAAGGAAAGGATATTGTGGAGAGCCATGATCGCCCACACCCAGAAGGAAAATGGCATATAAAGAAGAAAAATGAGCTTGAATAAGTGGATGGTGGCACAGTGTTTAAAAGAAATAACAAAAAGACACAATATATTAAGAGCTACAAAAGACAGGAAATTGTGGAGAGTCATGAAGCATGAGGTTGAGTAAATGGATGGGGGAACATGGTTTCGGAGAAATAACAAAAAGACAAAATTTATTAAGAACTGCGACAAAGAAGAGATTGTGGAGAGCCATGATCGCCATTGTCCTGAAGGGACACGGTACATAAAAAAAGAAGAATGAACTTGAATAAATGGATGGCGGAACAGGGTTTAGGAGAGATAATAAAAAGACAAAATTTATTAAGATCTATGACAGACAAGAAGTTGTGGAGAGCCATGATCACCATTGTCCTGAAGAGACACAACACATAGAAAAAGAAGAATATGCTTGAGTAAATGGATGATGGAGCAGGGTTTAGGAGAAATAATAAAAAGATAAAATTTATTAACTACGACGGATAGGAAATTGTGGAGAGCCATGACCACCATTGTCCTGAAGAGACACAACACATAGAAGAAGAACAATATGCTTGACTAAATGGATGATGGAGAGACGCAACACATAAAAGAAGAAGAATATGCTTGACTAAATGGATGATGGAGCAGGGTTTAGGAGAGATAACAAAAAGACAAAATTTATTAACTACGACGGATAGAAAATTGTGGAGAGCCATGATCGTTATTATCTTGAAGAGACACAACACATAGAAGAAGAATGAGCTTGAGTAAATGTATGATGGAGGAGGGTTTAGGAGAAATATCAAAAAGACAAAATTTATTAACTACGACGGATAGGAAATTGTGGAGAGCCATGATCGTCATTGTCCTGAAGAGACACAACATATAGAAGAAGAATGAGGTTGAGTAAGAGATACAAAGGACATGAAATATTGGCGAAACATCAAATGGCATCGCAAATTGAAGAAACACATCTGAACATCTACCATGAATACAGTGGTAGAATAGGAGGATGAGAAGAGACGGAGACAGAGAAAGAGAGAAAGAGAGAGAGTGAAAGAGAAAGAGAGAGCGAGAGAAAGAAAGAGAGACGGGATGTTGAGTGAGATGTTTGAGGGGAGACGCTGTAACTTTGATAATGGAGTTATGGTTTTCCCCTCCTATTGTTGTATATTGACTTTTCAGAGAACAAATTATTTTGATATTTATTTGAGAATATGTTCGTTGATTGTTGCTACATTTCTCCAAATGTGACGAATGACTCTAGCTATTAATGAAATTCTAGGATGAATACAGATACAACAATGACACTTCAAAATTGATATCCTTCTTAAATATATAGGCGGAAGGCAACACATGGTAATGCATACTGGGAAGGTAATTTGTTATCCATTGTTACAAATACATTCTCTTGTTTGGTGTCTTCTCAAATCTATATTTCAAATTGAATATAAAAAAATCTTGTTTCGCATATATTTACGATAACGAATATATATATATATATATATATATATATATATATATATATATATATATATATATATATATAAGAAAAAAAAAGAAAGCTTCTAAATGAATTCGGTTACATAAAAAAAAATTAAATTCACAGCACCCTCCGTCGTTCGTATGTGTAGTCCTACCAACATGACAAATTTAGTCTGATGATGTCTTCAAGGACGAAACGCGTCACAGTTAAACATTACCCACTTTCTCATACATTTTCCCGAATACTGTTCTTGATATATATAAATATGTATCGCTATCTTATATATAGCATGCCTGTCCACATTCGCAATTTAGAAAAATTCTTGTTGAAAATACAGCTATATTCTTCATGAAAATAATAAACATAAACTAAACATTCTTGAAGCTATCTATATTAAAAAATGGAAACCAACCCATAATAAAATTAATTATGAATTCTGCACAAATATTTTAAAATGTTTACAGTAGATAGTTTAAAATATCTAGGTTTTAAGTAATAGTTTTAGATAGTTTTTAAATAGACATCTTAATAACTTTGTAACCTCCATTGACTTTTCTGCGCGAGTTAAAAATCGTACAGTACAAACGTTTAGCGTTTTTCACTTCACAAACATAAAATAAATAATTTTCAGATGAACACAACAAACTTGTCTTAGATAAAACAAGACCCTAATAAAACAAGACTCTGATAAAGCAAGACAAAGCAAGACACTGACGATGATATTTTGCTAGTGCCGAAATTAATCAGAATAAATGAATATGCATCAATATGGTAACTTTCTTTCTTCATTTAATAAGGATACTAAGATACTTGTTCGTAATTACGAGCGGATCCTATTAAAAATAAGTAATTGTATGCCTAGAACATTAGCAATCTGACCATGAGACCCGGGTTCGAATCACACCATGGTCGATTTGACAGGAAGTAGACTCCTTGATATTATGGGACTGGAAGGGTCGTTCCCAGCGTGCGGCACCTTTGGAAAGTGCCTGAAAACTATACCATGGGTTGACCCAAGCCTTGTGAGTACGGAACTCTTGGGGGCCATCGATAGCTGTGCTAGCATAAAGTCACAGGTCACTTTGGCGGAGGGCTTGAGCGTGCTGGTGTTGTTCAAATTGTTGATTAAGCTAGATAACACGCTCTTTCCCAGAAACTGTAGTTGCAGTATAAACCACAGGTGGGCTCTGTGGGTGTTGAATAAACACAAATGTGCCTGGTTAAGCGTCTGCAATAGGGATTGTCTAGCCGCCCAAGTAGACAGGTATCCTCGAATACGAGTGGCCAGCTATACATTAAAAATAAGTAGACATGTCTAAATTATTTAATGTAACATAATTAACATACATAATTTAGATAAGTTTCGTGTACATATTTTTAATAGGATCCTCTCGTAATTACGAACAAGTTCCTTCGTAACTTTCTTCTTACCTTTATTAAAGGAAGGAAAGAAAATTACCATGTTGATGCGTATTCATTTTATTCCAACTACTTTCGACATAAATACAATCACATCATCACGAGTAAAAATTTAATTTTCAGATGATCACAAAAAATTTATCTTAGAAAAATTGATGAACACAAGTTTTGTCTTTTAAAATGTGTACTATAGATTGTTTGAAATGCCAAGGTTTCAATAATAGTTATTTTACTACTTATTTCGTAAAAAACTCTCCACAACCATACTTAGTTAGATCCCCTTAAATGGTCTCAGCGATCACGCACTGACTCACGTTCTTCACATCACAAGTAAGAAATGTAACTTCCAGATGAACACAACAGTTTTGTCTTTGACAATAATGAACACCACAATATTTGTCTTGCAATAAACAATATCCTGATCATGACATTGTCAAAAGTACTCGAAATAAAAGTAATATGTATCAATACGGCGATTCTCTCTCGTCCTTCAATAATGACACCAAAATCTTATCCATGAATTTGAAAGGATCCCATTGAAAATAAGTAGACATATCATGTCTAAATTATTCATCGAAACATGTCTCAATGAAAGCATGCTGCCAAAATATACGCATATATATATATATATATATATATATATATATATATATATATATATATATATATATATATATATATATATGGGGTGTGTGAAAAATTTATCAGAGTTAACCTTTAGAAAAAGGCAATATTTATAAATGTAAAAGACAATAAGAAAACTGTAATATTAGCCGGCGCGTTTCGTCCAATGTGGACTTTTTTCAAACAAAAACGAAATGAATTTATTAAAACAAAGTAACTATTAATAACAAAAAACAAAATGTCCTTAGCAACTAGAATATAATATGAATAAAATAGCTTTTGAAAAATTTTTCCAGTTGCTAAGGACATTTTGTTTTGTTATTAACAGTTAATTTGTTTTAATAAATTATATATATATATATATATATATATATATATATATATATATGATAAAATAGAAAAACAAATAGGAAACGTTTATAAATTCGACATGTTTCACTTTCATTAAAGCTTCGTCAAACTCTTTGGTAATAAGCAGGAACCAAATTGGGCATAAATTAGTAATGCCACCCTAATTAAAAACAACATAATTCTTTAAGGAGAAAATGCTTTCAGAGCCTACTAGTAATAATATGACCAACTATAAACACACGTCAAAAATATTACATTACATTAGCAACAGTTATTGAATTCATTCTTAAATAATATAACGTATGTTTATATGAAACGGTATTTAGGCAAAAACGTTCCCAAATCAACATGCAAAAAAAAATAGAACAACAGACATAAGGTCTAGTAGACATACACACACACAATTACGAATATACATTATCATCTGACGCCCACAAGAAAAACTAGAATTTTTATACATACATATATATATATATATATATATATATATATATATATATATATATATATATATATGAAGTTATAGTGTCTCCTGATTCATTTTTGCATATATCCAGTCTTTCCTATCAAATTGAGAAATAAAGGTTTCCCGAACGACCACTTTTGTACTAACGTGGGTGTCCCCAGGGCTCCATCCTTGGTTCTACCCTATTTTTAATTTTCATTAATGACCATCTGATGGCATCAGCTCTCAATTTGGGATCTACGTTGATGACAACCATTTACTCCTGCCTTTATATATATATATATATATATATATATATATATATATATATATATATATATATATATAAATAAAAATAAAGGCAGGAGTAAACGGAAAAAAATAGTTTTAAGTTTGAAAATTTTTGACACTCTTGTGTCCTTCATAAACGGACGGAGAAACAAACAGAGAAATGGGAATTACTCACCGACATATGTTTTTGTAGACAGTGTATTTTCTGGTGTAAATCATAGTGTTAGCAAAAACCAGATCGCTGTCTGATTGCTCGGTGTGCGAAACTTTTTTCTAATTATATATATAGATATATACTGATGTAGATACATATGAACATACTGAGATAGATATGAACAAATTGATAGATAGATAGATAGATAGATAGATAGATAGATAGATAGATAGATATGAATATTATCGTATATTCTGAAAACAGAAAACATATTCCATATATGTAATATGCAAATTGTGACATTTGTGACAACTTGTCGAATATTTGTCTCGAAATAAATTGTGATATTTTGTGACAAAATTTGATAAAATTGCTTGAATCAAATCAAACAGCTGTCGCGTGTGAGGGAAGACATACTTTCATTCTTTGATATTCGGTACATGCCAACCAATTTAAAATAATGTATTCTTGCATCGCCGTATTTTGTAGCTCCAATGCGAACGGAAAAATAGACAATTTTTTTTATCCTTTTATTTTTTATTTATTTTCAGAATATTATCTGTTTTGCAAAACGTTCGTTTTGGTCACATGTTCTGTCATATCGATTGAAGATAGACCAGTAATCTTTGGAAACGACTCACATATTTTTGCCTTTCTAATTATTTTTTCATTCCTCCACTAAATTTCAGTTTTCTTTACTTTCCTTCTCTCTCGAATCACCGTTCATTAACTTGTTTTCTCTACTTTCTTATCTTTGTTCTTTACCGCTGACATTTCATTACCTTCTATCTTTATCTCTCACGTTTTTTACCTTTTCTAATACCTCTCACATTTCCTTATCATTCTCCTCAACCTCTCACATTTCCTTACCTTCCTCATCCACCGCTAACTTTTTCTTTTCTTTCTATTTTTACCACAGATTACAGTTCCTTATCTTCCTCCTCTCTCACATTTCCTTATCCTCCTTCTCTGCCTCTCACATTTCTTTCTCTTCCTTCTCTACCTCTCACATTTCCTTATCTTCCTCCTCTCTTACATTTCCTTATCCTCCTTCTCTACCTCTCACATATCTTTCTCTTCCTTCTCTACCTCTTACATTTCCTTATCCTCCTTCTCTACCTCTCACATATCTTTCTCTTCCTTCTCTACCTCTCACATTTCCTTATTTTCTTCCTCCACTTCTCCCATTTTCCTATCTTCTTTGCCTCTCACATTGTAATCTTCTTTCTCCACAGGTCACATTTCCTTATCTTCCTCCTCTCTCACATTTCCTTATCCTCCTTCTCTGCCTCTCACATTTCTTTCTCTTCCTTCTCTACCTCTCACATTTCCTTATCTTCCTCCTCTCTTACATTTCCTTACCCTCCTTCTCTACCTCTCACATATCTTTCTCTCCCTTCTCTACCTCTCACGTTTTCCTATCTTCTTTGCCTCTCACATTGTAATCTTCTTTCTCCACAGGTCACATTTCCTTATCTTCCTCCCCCTCTCATATTTCCTTTCTCTCCCTTCTCTATCTCTCACATTTTCTTATCATCTTTCTCTACCTCTAAGATTTCCTTATTCTCCTTATCAACCTCTCACATTTCCTTATCCTCCTTGTCTACCTCTCACATTTCCTTATCCTCCTACTCTACCTCTCACATTTCCTTACCCTCTTTCTAGAACTCTCACATTTCCTTATCCTCCTACTCTACCTCTCACATTCCCTTATCCTCCTTATCAACCTCTCATATTACCTTACCTTCCGTCTTTACGTTTTTTACCTTCCTTCTCTACTTCTAACATATTCTTACTTTCCGACTTTATCTCTCACATTTGCTTATCTTCCTTCTCTCCTCTCACAGCTTTACTTATGACAAATACACACCCGGAGAGTCAACATCCGAATGCGTGAAACAACTTGGGTAATATTCACGGGAAACCCAATACGTTAAACCGGACACTCACCCGGTTCTCCCGACCAAAAGTAATTAACCCATATCTGGGACAGAAGAGGTGGATTCATCCCAGTTCCCATGGGTATTTGCGTGTAAGTAAATATAACAAACCCGACTTGAATTTGGAAGTCGGTTCTATTATTTACCATTTCGATGCTCTCTCCATTACACTATCCTTACATCCAACCTTCCAGCACTTGATATTCTCATGCGGTCACCCATCTAGGTACTGAGCAGGCTCGACGTTGCTTAACTTGCTTGATCCTACGAGAACCGGTATTTTAACCTGATACCGCCGAATGTGTGTGTATTTATGTATTTAGTACATATATATATAATATATATATATATATATATATATATATATATATATATATATATATATATATATATATATATATATATATATATATATATATATATATAATCCAGTCGAGATTCGACGTATGAGGTTCAAGCAGATCCGTTTCCAGGAAACCGACAGCTCGACACCGGCACATGAGATTTGATTTTAGTGGTGAAGGCCTCGTGCAGAACCATCCACACTTTTTGAAGGGGCGAATACAGAGACCTGGTGCACCGAATGGCACAAGGTTCCCAAACGACCCTCCGCAGGTTTTGAATTCAGAGTTGTCCTTCTCCTAGGCTATAGAATCCAGTCTGTCCTGCTATTTTACCCATTAGCTGGAAGGAGAGGAAGAGGATTTATACCTTTCCCAAGGGTATTAGCACGTAAGTGAATGTAATGGATTCGACTGAATTCGAACTCGGCTCTGCGATTCCTCAATCCAAGCCGTTATCCATTACTCCACCGTGCCTCCTCCTCTCTCTCTCTCTCTCTATCTATCTATCTATCTATCTATATATATATATATATATATTGTATATTTTGGCAGCAATCCTTCATTTATACATGTTTCATTAAAGAAGACAGTGTACTGCAATTAAGCTTCTTTTTTTTTAAAACTTTACTTCTGTTCGAACAAGTGTTTTCTTTTCTGGACACAGAGTGTGTAGAAACCGTTCAAACGTTCTATGATTCAAAGAACTTTCGTCTATACTTTTAGTCATTATCAAGGATGACTTTATTTTTAATTTTTAACTGGATGCATGGTTTGCGTGTATGTACATAGAGTTATAGGGATGTTTTATTTTCCGAATACACTCAGCACATTGTGTCCGTGTTCGTAGTTAATATTACCGAGTATTGAATTTCACTTTTTTTTATTATTAAGGCTTCCATTATTTTTAATCTTTTTTTTTTACATGTAGATGAGGTTATTACGCCTGTATTTTCTACTAGTATTTTTCGGATGGAGTCTGGTAAGTTTGTTTATATGTTTAAATGAGTTCTAATGGGGATATGGTCGCATAGGTGTCGTCTGTGTAGGCACGCACTAGCGTGACCCATGTAATTATTTATGTGTTTTTGAAGGGGCATTTGAATTCGTGAATAATGTTCGTTCTTTGTACATTTGACTTTGCAGGCGTATTGTTATTTTTAAGGATAAGGTTAGCTGTTTTAAAATTTTGTAATAGATAATTAATTTAATTTTTCTGTTCGGGTCAACTGGGGTAGTGTTTTTCTTTATTTGGGCAGTTTCTACATATTCTGTGTGAAGAGAAGAAAAGACTTGTTCGAACACAAGAAAGATTATATAAAAAGCTTAAGCGCAGTATCTTGTCTGTCATCTTTAATGAAACACACACAGAGGTAGACAGAAGTCCAGTTGACAGTAGAGACCGAAAGGTAGACATAAGTTCAGTTGACAGTAGAAACCGAAAGGTAGACATAAGTTCAGTTGGCAGTATAGACTGAAAGGTAGACATAAGTATAGTTGACAGTAGAATCTGAAAGTTAGACATAGGTCCAGTTGACAGAAGAGACCGAAAAGCAGATATAAGTCCTGGTTACAGTAGAGTCCAAAATGTAGACATCGGCCCAGTTGACAGTAGAAACCCAAAGGTAGACACAGATCCAGTCGACAATAGAGCCGAAAAGCTAGACACAGCTTCAGTTTAAAGTAGTTTCTAAAGGTAGGTATAGATCTATTTGACAGTATAGCCCAAAAGACACAAGTCCAGTTGATAGTAGAGACCAAATCTTAGACATAGATCCAGTTGACAGTAGAGACGAAAAGGTAGACACAGATTTAGTTTAAAGTAGTTTCTAAATATAGGCATAGGTACAGTTGACGGTAGAGACAGAAATGTAGACATAAGTCAAGGTTACAGTAGAAGCAGAAAGGTAGACATTGGTCCAGTATCCATTAGAGTAAAAAAGCTAGGAATGTGTCTGGTTTAAAATAGAATAAAAAAAGATAGACATATATCTGTTTTACATTAGACTCAAGAAAAAAATATCGACATTAGTTCGGTTTGAACATGACTCAAAAACGTAGATATATATCCCGTTTCTTTCTTTCCTTTTACGTGCCATGTCCTTTCAGGACGTAAGCCATTATGGTTCTCCACTCCCCCTCTATCATTTACAGCTTTCAACAAGTTCCTCACCGCTGCTTCCTCCCCGAGACCACGTTCTGTCATCCACCTGTTCAAGCTTGCCAAGTATGACATGAGCTGCTTTCCATTGTCACTCTTTCCCTCTATTCGACCCGTGAGTATCAGATTCTCTTGGCCCTCCTTCCTCATTATGTGCCCCAGAAACTTCACCTGCCTCTCTCTGAAGTTAGGTATAAGCCTCTCCCTTGTTCACAACCTCTCCTAAACCTTATCGTTGCTGACACGCTCGGTTCATGATATCTTTCGCAACCTTCTGCAGGAACACATATTCTTTTAAAATATTGTGGAAAAATGTAGACATAGGTCCGGTTTCCATTAGTGTCAAAAAGGTGGACATGAGTCCGACTTAAACAAGAGTAAAACAATGTAGACCTAGATCCGATTTTAACTAATCAAGTAGGTAGATATTCTTTTCGGTTTTCTAGTGCCAAATAGCTGGACATGAATCCCGTTTACACTAGACTAAAACAAGGCAGAAACAGATCCGTTATTAACTAATCAAGAAGGTAGATATTTTTCGGTTTCCATTAGAGTTAAAAAAAATGAAGATGAGTCCGGTTTACACTAGAGTAAAACAAGGTAGAAGTAGATCCATTTTTAATTAATCAAGAAGGTAGATATTCTTTTTGGATTTCTAGTGTCAAAAAGGTAGACAGAGATCCTGTTTATACCGAAGTTCCCAATGGTTAGTGTCTGAATGAGTTTTAGTCAGATTATTCTAAACCCTGCCGACAGAGTAAAAAGAGAAATTTGGGTCTGTATGGAATCATTTTTGGTTTATAGTCTAGGAACAAGAGGTTGCCAATACTTAGAAATGTGCGCTGGAATGCGATAAGGAAACTCCGAATATATCAAAACGTCAAAATCCAGCTTCTCTCTCTCTGTTATCAGCGGTTCTTGTTCATATCACAGAACGTTTGCCAAATGAAAAGGAATTATATCTGATTTATGAAAGCGCCTACGTGATAAATTCTTTTTATTATCTTTTATTAACCATTATATCCGTAGTATCTTGCGTATGGATCGGCAGTAGATTACGTTTCTCCATCTTTTTTTTCCGAGACATTCTAGGACGAAGATGATCATTGCTCTCCACAGCTTTCTTTTCTAAGGTTTGTCATTTCACTATCACTCCTACTGCCTATTCTACCATTCTTTGAAACACGTTAGCTCCGCAGTGGCTCTCCACAGGGTCCTTTTCCTTTACTAATTGCGAAGTGCCATGACGTCTTTGGAAATAAGATTTGAGTAAAATAGTAGGACTTGTATCTGGGAAAAAATTATTAGTGCAATATTCACTCGCCAAAAATATTGTTACAATGCAAAATATGTTACGGCTTTAAATAACCTACACTGGGTTGATAAACCGTAAAAAATCAAAAAAATCAATCAAAACCTCGGAAAAGATAGTGGAGTAGTTTCCACATTGCCTTTATTTGTGTTAAGGACATTTTCCTTCATATCAGTGGTTCTCAATTAATATTTTTTTGTCCAGTGCAACCTTTTCAACATGAATGCCATACCCCGGCATTGCTAAGATTGTCTGACTTGTAAAGTGCATTCCATAGAATATGCATATATTAGTGAAAATATTAATTTTTTCCACATTAGTATCTATATATATTTATATGAATTATTAAGAAAAAACAAACAATTTCTTCAACTTTGTTGGTTTCAAAGTATCGTTTGACAAATCTTTTTTTGTTTGTTTTGTTTTGCTTTCCGGTATATCTACCTGAATGGGTTACTTAATGATTTTAATTGCTGTAATAATTTTTCCAAAAAAATGTATTGCTGGTAATATTTTTCCTTCCAAAATGTACGGCTGGCAATATTTTTACAAAAATTCAATGCTGGTAAATTTTTTTACCTTCAAAAATCTAATGCTGGTAATATTTTCCAAAAATGTATTGCTGAAAATATTTTTTCCTTCCAAAATGTTTTGCTGGTAATATTTTTTCTACCAAAATGTATTGCTGGTAATATTTTTTCCCTTCAAAAATATATTGTTAGTAATATTTTTTCCTACCAAAATGTATTGCTGGTTATATTTTTTCCTTCCAAAATCTATTGCTGGTAATATTTTTTACCTTCAAAAAGTGATTTGAGAAGATTGTGAACTGGACAATGAATGAACCTCTCTACTCCTGCTGGGAGAAGAAAAGAAAAAATAATTAGTGAATAAAACTTCAGAGCTCTACTCCCGTTAAAAAAAGTGGAGGCGTATGAACCGGATGGTAGGCGAACCTATCTACTCCTATTAAATCCTGGGGAGAAAATAGCAAAATCATATATAACTACAATAGAATAGATTCTCAGTCAGAAATCGTATAAGATTCTAATTTTCACAGAAATAGGCAAACGAGAATATAAGCACGAGAGAGAAAACAGTCTTATCATCTGCAATGTTATTGGTCCTGACCTGACATCTCAGCTTAAATCACTTTCCCACCACCATAATATAACTACCTGTCCCTTTCCTATAAATGTATTCATGGTAACAATTCTGATGAATATTCCTGTATGGTATCTAGACTGTATTTACATTAGTCGGACTATTGTCCTCATCTTTGTCGCCATATTTGTCACAACGTTTCGGCCGTTGTACGCTCCGGCCTTCTTCAGGTGGTTGGAATTTCGAACTGAACCCTTTATTTCGATCGTTGGGGTAGACTGTTCTAATTCCACGTGCCATGTTTGATGGATGTCAGTTATCAGTTATCTCCTGCTAATTTTCCCTCTGAAAGTTCTCCACTGCCTTAACAGTGGATAAAG